TGAAAGGTCCGCTCAGGGAGGCCTGCCTGCGGGACGGGGCCCTGTCTGCCCTCTCTTGTGGAGACGTAGCTCTGTCTCCCGGGTGCCCTGGGTCAGCCCCGAGACGAGGGCAGGCCGAGGTGTGGCAGCTCCCCTGAGAGCTTCACAGACACAATATAGATGTAGTCACTGACTGGCTGAGTCACCTTTCCAGAGAAGACGTTCCTGTCTGGACTAGCCCACTCCACCCGGCCCAGCAGAGGCCTAGGCAGGTCCTTCTTCCAACATGGGGGCCTTAGATCAAAAATCCGGAGCCCCACCACACCATGCTGACATCCAGGGGTCTGACTACCAGGAAACTGTCTTGTTTCCCCCTAAAACCACATCACAGGAAGGGAGACGGAGGCTTCTCCATGCAGTGAGATCACAGCCCCCGGGGGGCTATTTACAGACACGGCCACCCGAGCCCAGCCTCAGACCCGCTGAGTGGCCCTCTCCATGGTGACTGGCACACACAGCCTGGTCAGTCACTGCTGCACAGCCCCTAGAGTGCCATCCTGGGGAAAAGAGCAGAGGGGGAGCCCCTCCTAGGGGGCCCCCAGAGCTCAGCACTGAGGTCTGAGATGACCCCACACTCCCAGGCGACCTACATTCCCTGGGGCGAGGTTTCTTTCAGTGAAGAGTTCCAGGAAAACTCAAAGTCTGGAAAAGGTTGAGTCATTGGTAGATGGAGCTTCGCTTCTGAGTCGAGCTGTGGATTCAGTCTGAGAACCACCATTTACCAGCTGTGTAACCTCGCCAGGCGCTCCGAGCCCAGCCTGTAAATGGGGCATTCGCACCTGCTCAGGGCAACGGGCGGGGCCATCGAGGGAAAGGGCACTGCATCCAAAGCACCTAAAGCAGCTGACGCGCAGGGCCTGGCACACGGGAGGTGTTCAAATCACTGACAGGAGTAACAGCCGCTCGTGATGCCACACACAATGGAGGCAATGTATGCCAGCCCACAGCTGGGCAACATCTGGGACCACGCGGGCTCTTTGGATGAAATTTCCACAAGGAATTACTTAGAAAATTTTCTTCTGTGAAACACGGTGCTAAGAAGTAAACTAGGAAAGTCTGTCACTAGATATTTGAAACTCGAGCAAAACCTATGGAAAGACTTCTTAAATTTTACTCAAAAGAAATATCCTTACAGATACACTGTGGGTGGGAGGCTGCGCTGTATTTTCAGGATCTAACCAGGGCCTAGAAAGGAGGACGCAGGAAGGAAGGAAGGATGGGTGTGGTGACTGGAGGGGTAGTTGGGTGGTTGGATGGATGGATGGAGGGATGGATGGATGTGGTGGTGGGGTGTCTGGGTGGAGAAGGGATGAACAGATGAATGAATGACTT